TGAATCACTTTAGATTCAAGAATATATGGAGGCCAAAATTGAAGGGATGGACAGAGCCCACACAAAGGGTAAACAAAAGAGATCAGAGGTGACTATACATATATTAGACAAAATAACCATTAATTCAAAATCTGCCACAAGAGATCAAATGAGAAAGATAGATGTTGTACTATGATAAAGTTTTTATTTTACCAGAATGATAAAACTATTGTAAATATATATGCATTCAACATTATAATATCTAAATATATGAAGCAAATATTGACAGACATGAAAGAAAGAGATAATTCTCACCATGCATTAGTTAGCAATTGATTTGCACAAGTCCAGTAGACAGAACACTCATACAACAAGCAAAACAACATTATTTTCACAGGCAACAAGGAGCAATAAAATACTAAGATTTGTGGTGACCACCAAAGCTCCGGAAAACTACACGGGGAGAAAGGAATCTAATCTGCATGTGTTCCATGTGGTACTGCAGTTGAGGAATCCTGAAAAGCAGCTTTCCCTGAGATTTACACAACGGGTAAATGAGACTCACTAGGATAAAACTATGTAGGATCTCTTCTTCTAGCAGGGACAGGAACAGAGTCCAGGCTATTCCTGTCAGTAACTCCTGATGTGATATGAGTGTTCTGATGATGATTCCTAGTACATTCTACAGTTTTTCCTGGGAACTAATTACAGGTAAGAAAAGGAAGATATCTAGGATGGTCCAAGATCATCTGGGAAACTTTCCTGTAGATAGCAATACTATAATATTAGAAGACTCAAATAGTCCACTTCCAATAATAGAGAGACCATCCAGACAGAACATTAATAAGGTGATTAATGGTGGACTAAACAACATTATAGACCAAACAGACCTACCTGATAATTAACAAAACAGCAGCAGAATACACATTTTTCTCAAGTGTGTTCTTCGGTACGGATCACATGTTATAGTACCAAAATGTCTTAACAAATTTAAGTAGATTAAAATCATACCAATTATCTTTTCTGATCACATTGAAATGAAATTAGAACTCAATAGTAGCAGAAGGAAAACTGGAATATTCACAAGTATGTGAAAGTCAAACAATACACTCCTGAAAAATCAATATGGCAAAGACAAATTAAGAGGAAAATTAGAAAATACTTTGAAACAAACACAACATATCAAAACTTAGGATATGTAACAAAGCAGACTAATAAGGAAGTTTATGATGGTAAATATCTACATTAAAGAATGAAGTAAGATCTCAAATAACTAGGTAAATTTACATTTTAAGAAACTAGAAAAAGAGGAACAAACCAAGCCTGAAGTTCGTAGAAGGGAGGAAATAGTAGAGATTAGATTAAGAATAAATGAAACAGACAAGAAAATCAATAGGAAAAAAATTAAAAGAATTAAGAGTTGATTTTTTGAAAAGGCAAATAAAATTGATGAATATTTAGCAAAACAGTGAGAAGTAAAGAATAAATAAAGAACAAAATGAAAAAGATATTACAATTGATGGTACAGAGATGAAAGGCATCACATGAGACTATGAAAAACTATACACCAACAAATGGAATGATCTAGAAGAAATGGATAAATTCCTAGAAACATAAAACCTACCATAACCATATCATAAGGAGAAGAATATCTCAACTCTTGTAACTAATGAGATTGAATCGAATCAAAAATTTTCTAAAACAAGGGGCTGGGGATACAGTTCTGTTGGTAGAATGCTTGCCTCGCATGCACAAGGCACTGGGTTCAAAACCCAGCACCACACACACACAATTACATACAAAAAGAGGTATTAAAACCCTTCCAAAACAGAAAAGTTCAAGACTAGATGGCTTCTCTGGTAAATTCTATCAAATATTTAAATAACTAATGCTAAATCTTCTCAAGCTATTCCCAAAAGTTGAAGCAGAGAGAACACTTCCAAACTCATTTTGTAAGTGCAGCATTGTGTGACCTCAAAGCCAAACAAAATCACTTCAAGAAAATCAAATTACAGGCTAATGCCTCAGATGAACATAGTTGTAAAACTCCTCAATAAAATACTAGAAAACAAAATCCTACAGCAAAATAGAAGAATGAGACATCATGAGAAAATTAGATTCATCCCTAAGATGTGAGGGTGGTTCCATAGGAAAACCAATCAATGTGATTTCAAAATATATTACAAAGATAGATATAGTGTTTGCAACAAGTGTGGTAGCCAGGCATGGTGACACAGGTCTCTATCCCAGTGGCTCAGAAGACTAAGGGTAGGATTGTGAGTTCAAAACCAGCCTCAGCAACTTAGCAAGGCCCTAAGCAACTCAGTGAGACCTTATCTCTAAATAAAATACAAAAACAAAAAGGCTGGGGATGTGGCTCAGTGGTTAAATGGCTCTGAGTTCAATTTACCCCACCCCCAAAAAAACAAAACAATGTGGGACTGGCATAAAAACAGACATAATGCAGACCATGGAACAAAATAGCACAGAAATAAACTCATGTATATATGGTCAACTAATCTTCAGCAACGGTGCAAAGAATACAAAATGAAACAGGATTGTTTCTCCAATAAATTATGTTTTAAAACTTGATATTCATATGTAAAAGAATGAAATTGGGCGCCTTTCTCACACCATACACAAAAGTCAACTCAGAACAGATTGGAGACTTCAATATAAGACCTGAAACTTGAATTTGATATCCAAAACACAGTCAACAAAAGCCAAAATCAAGTAGAATGGCACCAAATTAAAAATTTATTCACAGTAAAGGAAACAACAGAGTGGAAAGGTACCTATAGAATAGGGGAAAGTGTTTTCAAATTATATATGAGATAAGGAAATAATATCCAAAGCATATAAGGAGCTCTTACATCTCAATCCAAGAAAACAAATACTCTGAGTTCTCAACTGGACTAAGGAATTGAATACATATTTCTCTAAAGACTTACAAATGGCCAACATGTAAGGTATTCACACCATAAATCATCAGAGAAGTGCAAATCAAAACCATAATAAGATCACCTCACATCTGTTAGCATTGCCATTATCAAAGACAGAAAAAATGTTGGCAAATATGTGGAGAAATTGGAACCCTTGTAAACTCTTGGTCAGAATGTAAAATGGCACAGCTACTATGGGAAACAATATGTAGGCTCCTCAAAAAAAAATGAAAAATAGAATTTCCATATAATCCAAAAATCCCACTTCTGGGTATTAATTCAAAAGAACTGAAATCAGAAACTCAAAGAGAGATTTGCACTTCCATGCTCATTGCAGCACTATTCACAAGAATCCAAAATTGGACATAAGCCATGTGTCCACTGACTGAGGAATAGATAAAGAAAATGTGGCATAGAAATTCAAGGAAATGATATTCAGCCTTTTAAAAGAAGAAAACCCTACAATGCATGAAAATGTGACTTAACTTGGATGATACTGTACTAAATGAAATAAGCCAGTCACATAAGGACAAACATTATTTGAATTCACTTTTATGAAGTATCTAAAACAACAAAATTTATAGAAGCAGAGAGTGGAAAGGTGGTTGCCAGGAGTTTGAGGAGGGAGGAGATGGTAAGTTTCTACTCAACAGGTATGAAGTTGTAGTTATGAAAAGGAAATAAATTCAAGAGATCTTCTGTATTGTCCACCTTAAAATTGATTAAAAATGAAGATCTCATGTTAAATGTCTTGCTGCAATAAAAGTAAAATTAGAAAACACATTTAGGGACTGGCAATGTGGTTGAGTGATAATTGCTTGCCTGGCATACACAAGGCTCTGGGTTCAATTCCCAGCACTGCAAAACAAAACAAAAACAAAAACACATCTAGGAGTAGATTTTTGAACATTGTCAGTCATCAGATGATGTATAATTTCCCAAGGGAAATGTTAAAATGTCATCATTGAAGACATCTGAAGCCAGACTGAAGAAAAACACACAATCACATAAAGTTGGCCTTGTTCTCCCTACATGGGTGACAAGGCCAGGCCCACACAAGCATGACCTAAGACACCAGTGGATGCCACAGCCTATGCACACCCTCCAGCCCACCCACTGCTCTACAGGATGAAAGACGAAGACTGGGCTGGAGCTAATGACTCAGCTCAGGAAGAGTTGCTCAGCATGTTCCTGGCTCAGCCACAAAGTTCCCAGGGTGCTAGGAAAGGGACACTCACATCAAGTCACCATACTCCCAGCCCAGAAAAATTTCCAGGGAACCTAGAGGCTCTTCTCCACTCCACCCTACTCTTGTAAATTGGCTTGTATTTTGTTTTTGTTATTTTTTAAAATCAGACAATACCTTATAGAAGACAAGATCACATAATCTAAACAAAATAAACAGCACCTTAGACTGGGGGTCAGCAAATTATGTTCCAAGGGTCACATTTGGCCCATGACCTGTTTCTCTAAATAAAGTTTTGTTGGAACACAGCCAAGCCTATTAATTTGCATAGCATGAATGGCTGTTTTCATGGTATTTCAGCAAGGTTCAGTACTTCAGCAAGGGCCAGATGGTCCATAAACCCTTACTAAGGAAAAACTCTGCCTTATAATGATAACTTTGAGAAAACTAACTCAAGCATCTCCTTTACCTTTTTCTCTTTTTCCAAGCAGAGAAAAGAAAATAATTTAAATTTAAACAGTATGTTTATGAATCTAGTGCGAGATATCACAGGTTATGGTTCATGTCTGGTACATCCAATATAGTAGTTAAGAATGAAGGTACTGGAAGTCAGAAAGACCTGAGTTCAAATCCCAGATTTTCTATTTACTAGCTGTGTCACCTGGGGAAATTTGCTTAGCCTTTCTAAACTTTATCCTAAAATAAAATTTTAAAAAATATAACTTTACTCAGAGGGCTGTTTTAAGGAATGAATGAATTATTGCATGTAAACCACTTAGTACAAAACCTTGTACATTACTCTGTGCTTAAAGAACTGCCTATTATTATGACTTCTATTATCAAAAGATTAAAACAGGGAGATCAACTTTCCAAGATTGAATATGAAGTATTACCTGTGCAGTTTCCCCCAAGATCTCCACAGAGAGGGCCATTCGTTTCAGGACTTCTGGTTGAATTTCCATCAGCCACCACACAGTGGAGGATCACTAGGCCTTTAAGCACAAAACAGAACCAAAAAAATAAGCATGAGAACTCAAGAATTTGCTTAATGTGAAATACCATCTCCAAGTCATAATCCACTTAGGAGAATAGCAAGCCTGTGGCTCTGTACCTCTCTCCCAGCCAGGCAGGGGAACAGAGGCCAGAATGTCTCATATTTTCAGCTAAAGATGGTATTGTCAAGCCAGAGTTCTTATATCTGACTATGCATCTTAAGGGAGGAGACTTGGACATATCTTAGGAAGGAGCCTGAGATTTGCTTTAAAATAATCCAACATGGAAATAAGGGTACAAAGTAATGAGGAAAAGACAGAGGAAACAAGACTGGCTTCATGGTGGTAATTGTTGAAACTGGATGATGGTGTGTCGAGGTTCATTATGCTGTTCTCTCTAGTAAGTATATATCCAAAATGTCTACAAGGAAAAGAGGAGAGGATAGAAAAGGAGAAAAGGGGAATATAAAGATGGCTTAGGAAGTAGCTAGTCCTGAGTTTAAGACCTGTTTATCAGTGTTAAAAGTATGCTAATTTGGTGTGTTTAAGTCAGTTTCACTGCTGTGACCAAAAGACCTGACAAAAACAAAACATACTTAGTATAAATAGTCATTTAATAAAAGTTTATCTTGGCTTATAGTTTCAAAGGTTCAGTCCATGGTTGGCTGACTCCACAGCTCTGGGCTCAAAGTGAGGCAGACCATCATGGTGGAAGACCATGGCCAAGAATAGCTCAAGATGCGGTAAAAAGGAAACACAGAGAGAATGCGCTCCATTCACCAGGGACAAAATATAAACCCCAATGAATGCCCCCAGGAAACTATTTTCTCTAACCCCACCCTACCAGCTTACAATTACCACCTAGTTAGTCCAAATCAGTGAATTAATCCACAGATTAGGTTAAGGCCCTCATACTCTAATCATTTCACCTCTGAATATTCTTGTATTGTTTCACACATATGCTTTTGGGAGATACCTTATACTTAAACCATAGCAATGTGTTAAGAATTCAAAGCACTGAAGATAGTGTTGGCATATAATCAGTGATCAGTAAAACTTACTCATTATTATGCAAGATGTAACTTAACCTCTCACTGGTTATACTGAAAATTATACAGTTGGCTAACAATTTCTAAACAGCACATCTTCCCCAATTCATTTCAATTCAACCAACATTGCTCAGAATGTTCAAATCTGGGATTTGAACTCAGGTCTTTCTAAACATACTGTTTAATTTCTGTTTAGAAATTGTTAGCCAACTGTATAATTTAGAACACACAGGTGAATAGGACATTCCTGACCCTCAACTTGCTCTAAAGCAGATAACTAAAGCAGATAAACAGCCAACCAATTCTTCACAACACAAAATAATAGTCCTACAGCAGAAAACTGCAGTAGCCAAGAAGTTCAAATGTCAGATTATTCAAAAGGGTCTTTATAAAGACAGGCTTTTTTTTCCATTTTTAAAATTAGAAAAGATTTTTCTTAAAGAAAGATATGCTACTTGATGTTGGCAAAAGTAAAGAGAAATGGCAACTCAAATCCACTTGTGATGGATAAACTCATACTGCTTATCTATAGATTTAATCTGTAATCTTAAATGTGTAGATTTAATTCTACAGAAGTTAAATCAAAAAATAACTTAAAAAATGTACAAACCCTTAAATCCAATAGCTACATTGCTAGTAATTTTTCCCAAGGAAATAATTCAGAACACATAAAAAAGATTTAGCTAGCTTTAGAAACTTTATATATGGTGTAAGTCAGAAAAAAATAGAAATTACCTAAATAGTTAACAATAGAGGATTGATTAAATACATTTTATTTATCTTCATGTAATAAGTTTTAAGCCATAAAAATTGATGTTCAAACAACAACAGCACATTTTAATATATTTCTAAACAAGAAAGCAGACTATAGGATAATCATTTAGTGTGATTTGTGTGCTTGGGTTTCTTTGTGTATAAAGTGTAAAAAAACAATTTGTATAAATAGTTACTTAATAAATAAATACAGAGTTGCTCACACTGGCTAAGAGGGGATTTTTTTCTTAATCTTGCTTATTTGTGCTTTCCAATTTTTTACCAGCACATTTTGTTTATTGCAACAAGAGAAAAAGGAATGACTCACTTTTTTTGTCACAGTTTGGCCACCAAATTTCTCAATTATTTACACGTTTTCCCCCCAACATTTGTCTCTCCCTTTACACTTAGAACAAACAGAAGCAAACAATCACTTAGGGTTTCTCAAACACAGAAACTATGTATTACTCATCTTCATAATCTCGGCAAATGATACAGAGCATAAAGGATGAAGAATGACTCAGTCAATCTATAAACAAACAAAAACCTCAAAATCAAAAATCGTAGTAGCAATTTCTAGTGGAAGATAATAAAAGACCTTTAATCCATTTCCAAAATTCCACACATGAACTTTCTTTATGGGGCAAAATGAGGACACCTTAATTTTACAGTTAATCTGTTCTAATAATGGAAACTCAAAAGAAAGGTAAATGTCAACATCTACAAACTGGGGGTAGCAATATCTGCTCAGGGTTTGCAAAATTAAGTTTTATCAGAAAAAAACACATGAATTGGCACATCTTATGCAATTTTTAGTCTAGTTGCATTCCTTCCGCTATCATTTATAATTTAACCCATTATTCTCCACCTCCATCTGATGGAAGGGACCCCGATCTCATAAAAACCTTACCTAAGCCCTTTCAGCTGGACCTCACTCCACATGCTGGCTTCACTTGGCAAAAGGAGGCCACCATCATCAGGTAGACGCAGAGCCCCTGGGGAGGAGTCATCTTCAGCCAAACCAGCACCCAAACCAAGCAGAGAACCTGGAACAACATGCACTCTACCTACCACTTCCCACCCACAATCTTTAGTCCAGCAACTGATGACCATGAACAGAATTATTCCTGAAGAATCATTTCCTTGACCTGCATAGTTTTTCAAAACTGAATTAAGGCAGTTCATATTAGACCTGAAGTTTGTGCTTCTCTCAAAATTACAGGAGGTCTGGCAATGAAGGATTTTTTCCTCTAATAACTGGCTGGGACTAAGAATCAGGTAACTCCTTTAAGTGCCACAAACTATGTGAGACTTGCTGATCTCATTTATTTTAACAGTCAGGATCCTAGTGGACATTTGAGTTTGCGATCTGAAAGAAGTGATGCAGAAAACAGAAAAATGCTCTCAAACCCATCTACCAAATAGTGAAGTCTATTACAAAAAGACTGTTCCATCCTCTCAACAGATATTTATTAAGCACTATGTATTTGGCACTGGTGCAAGATGCTGAAGTCTCAAAGATATTATCACTGACCTCAAGGAGATCAAATACTAGAAAACACAGATACACAAATATTCAAGTAAAGTGTGATCAGCATAGCAACAAAGATAACACAGGAGTTACACCAGGTGAAGAATCAACTCGGCCCAGTGGCAAAGACTTCATAGAGAAATTGAGGTTTATAATGAATTTTTAATGAGAAATAAATGATTTTTAAAGCATCAATGAATACTTGTGAAAAACAAAAATATGTAAGCAATATAATCACAGTTTATCATTTGTTTCAGCAGTGGATAATAACTATGCAGTTATAATAATATCAATAGTGATAATTGAACAAAAGATTATCATAAAATTAGGGCCACTTGCTAGCACACGTACACCACCTGGGAGACTGGTAGTAATTAATCAGTGCCTGTGCTGTACCAGTTCTTAAGTTTTGAGTATCATCCTGAACTTAATGGTTCTAAAATTATGAAAAAGAAAGAACTCAATAGCAAAGATCTAAAGCTGACAAGTCAAGAAGTAGCATCATAAACAAAGTATTTCATAATACAGAGGCGAATAGCAGAAGAAACTCCTAAAAGAGGCAACAGGTGCTGCCTCTAGGGAGGTGGAAAGGCAAGAAGGTGTGGTGTACAAAGATCTTCTTATTATTTTAAATCTATTTCTACCTACTTCTTTATTAAGAAGAAAACTTTTTACAAGATAATAAATAACATGTTAGTTAACTAGGGCATGCTAAACAAAAAGGACAACTGTATAAAGACATGTCATGAAATAACATGACTTGTCCATCTTGTTTTCAGGGTGGGGATTGTGAAGGAATAGGAAGTTGGGAAGAAAGTGGGTAACAAAAGATCTACATGCCATGGTACGTTGAATTCTATGATGCAGCTAAGATGTGACCAGTGAAAAGTCTAAAGCAAAAACCATAATGATCCTTTTCCTTTTTCAAATTTGAAAAAAAAAATATGTTAATGTCAATATTTAATATTTCAGACATTCCTAAATCAAGATGGTAGTACTGGTTATGGAGAAGAATAAATGAATATGAGAGATTCACAAGGTTAAATCTGAAACATTTGGCGGGGATTGATCATAAAGGAGTTGGAGATGACTCAGAGTTTGCAACTTAAGTAACTGCTTAATTCATTAGCAGATCTCAGGTATATGGGAAGATTGTACCTGAAGAGTAATCCAGTTTTAGACACTAAATTCGAGATATCTGTAGATCATCCAGGGGACAATTTATGGATATATAAATCCAGAACTGTAGAATGAAGTCAGAACTACAGGTTCTATATTTGGGAGTCATGAAGATTCATTCTCCTGGTATTAAATTCCATGGGAAGGGATCTCTCAGAAAAAGCTGTGTGAAAAGAGAAAGCTGATTAAGGATAGAATTCTGAAGAATATCAATAAGATAGGGTGGCAGAAAGAGAAGGGCCCTTCTGAGACTGAGAAGAGGCTACAGAGCTAGAAAAAAAAAAAAAAACTTCTTCAGAAGAAATTGAACAAAATACAAATTGTCAGAGATATAAATATAAGAAATGAAAAGCATGCATTAGATTTGCACTAGTAATATGTTTCTAGAGAAATCTCAGTAGCATGAAGAATGTGTAAATAATTGTAGATTACTCTTCAAATACATTGAACTTAAAGAGAGAGATTAGTCAACATATACCCAAACAAGA